AGTGATGTATTCCCATCGGCTGGCCAGTAACAACTCAGACAATCTCTGTTTTTAATTACGCTCTAAGGATCGATCTGGACGATATCTGGATCGAAGAACGTTTCTGCGCCACATGGTCAAGGTGTTGTAACATCGGGCATCGAAGGATAGTCGGAAGTGATGTAATCATTTATAGCGAAGTCGCTCGTAAAAGTTGAACTCGCCTTGTGAATCATTCTAAGTCGCAGTTAACAACGAGTCGTTCCGGAGTGTTATATCCGGGAGATAAACCGAAACTTTCTTTTTACCAGTTTCTCTTTTCAAAAGTGCATTGAATTTAATTGACAGTATTTATTAGAAGTTAAGCAAATAAAAAATTGCACACAAAGCATATAATATTGTGTAAAATAGCATATATATATATATATATATATATATATATATATAATATTAAAATATATGACGAGATACGAGATAGATGACATGTCATGTACAAAGTAATAGTAATAACTATTTATGTAATATAATAGAGATAAAAAATATAAAATAGTATAATATAAAGCTTATAAATGAGATAGGAGAGGGATATGAATGACTTAGGAGATATAAATTTTTGTAAACATTTTTGTGTAATTATTTAAACGCTATTTTTATTCCAACATAAGTTGGCTTCAACTTATTTTTATCAGCAATCACATAAATTTTGAATAAATAAAATTTATATCTATATATAATTATTTTTAGACTTGATTAAAATTAAATATTTTATTTCATAAAAACCTTTTGAATCGTGCGTATTGTCCCTAAAAATCGACTAGAATGGTAAGAAACCACAATAATCGAATTTCTTCGGAAGGTCAGTAATCTTGGAAAGTGATTTAAGGGACCTTTCATTTTGGGATCGATTGTTGCCGCCGTAAAATCGGGGTCAGGCGACGAGGCCGTAAATCTTATGGGCATTTGGGCCCTGTGCACAAAAGAACAAAACAGGGCGTATGCATTGTCAGCCCTCTTGCGCCTTGCTCCTTATTTTTGATACAATGTCTCGCGTCTCGCAAGGATCAGCGACGACGACGTGCACTGAATCTTTTTATACTGCTATTTCTTTCGCTGAATATTCTCTAATCGCTTTAGTAAATTCACGACAGCGATTTGTCGAAAGGATCGAGGGAACTCAGGGATTTGTAATTCTTTCCGACAGGATATCGTTTCTGAAAATACAATCAGTCGTATTTTATATCGCCTACTTTCGGCACTAGAATTCTGTTTACGATCAAAGCATCCGCGTTGTGTTCTTTCTTGTAAGCTAATTCGTACTGACAATTTTTAGGTTGCGTTTAAAAAATAATATTTTGAACTTGTATAGAAATTTAAATTTATTTTATTCGAATAGATAAATTATATATATATATATATAAACTAAACAAATATTTTTTATTAAAATTCAAACTCTTGTTAAATTTTAAAGACAATTGTCTTTATCTTTTTTTTTATTTTTATATTATTGCTTATTATTAATCACATTTTTATTATATTGACTTGTATAAAGAAAATATTACATAACAACAGATCAAAATTAAATCAATTTAATTATCGCAAGAGCAGAATTAGGGAATATTTTTTAAAAATTATTTTCTAGACCTCTCTCTTAAGAGGATAGTCATGTTTAGAAGTCACGTCTAAATAAAATCTCAGATTTCTAGTGCCTAAACCTTTTTAAGTCTCATATGTTTGCGATCCTATATAATGGGCGTCGGAAATATACAGCAGATATTGTTGAAAATAAATAGTTCCTAACGAGATCATATTACTAATACAGGAAATTGCTCACAAAGATATACTTCCAAAACTTTTTATTACCGTAAGTAAATTTATGATATACGCTAAATTTATATGATTACTTTGGGTCTCTTTTTTACCAATACTAAAAGCATAAGCAGTAATATGACGTACTTAATTGTAGAATTGTAAAACATATGGGAAAAATGCTCGCCGTAAATCTCGATAATGCGATCAATCGATCGCGATTTATTTGTCGAATGTGATACTGATAAACCTATATTCTATCACGCCGCGGTCTATCATTAGAAATTAGGCTGCGAGATTTACGATAATAGGTACGGGATGCGTGATACGCGTGATACACGTGATACGCGGTCGTAAAACAGAGGATCGAGTTAAGCAGAGATTTAAATTTCCATGTACGAGCCAATCATCTTCTCGATATCCCTGAGGCGGTGGTCGGTTTCTACAAAGTTTTACTACCTGTTGGCCCATGGCAGCTTCCGGAGCCGCAGAGCGTCTACTGCACAGTATTTCGTTCTCTAAACGCCTAATTACAGATGTGGTTCACTGCGTTTTCGCGTAACATCAAAACTTTTAACTAGTAGAAAAATATACAAAAATTTCTATAAAAAAAAGATTCCCATACGTACTTGTAGCTTTTAATGATTTTTTAAGTGAGTTTACGCAAAAATAGTTATGATTAATCGATATAAGATTTCTCGAAATTTACATAAAAAAACGTTAATTAAAAATCTGTCCGTGAAAATCAGGAGAATTGCGATTGTCTGAAATCTTTATGTCTATCGAACGACGGGAGTCGATCGCTTTTTGCCTGGATAAGAGATGATGGGTAAAGAGATTAATCCCATTTTTACGGATTAACAGCGGCTCGCCTGTTTACAGGGTTTACGGTGCAATTAACGTGCAAGGCAAAAAAATTGAACGATTAGCGATCGTGTAGCGAGAGGAGACTCGCACGAAACGATTCGGGTCGCGTTTTGGATCGAGCGAGCGAACGCTTTAGATTTTCCGCTCCGTCGAGCGTTCCGCGGCGATTTATGTTCTACGAGCAATTAAACGTACAATTAGAGTGTGGAGTGTTAGCTAAGGTGCATGTGTATGTAGTCTGTAGTGTGTTGTGACTGTGTGTGCTACTCTCCCTAGCGCCAATATGCGACACCGAACAGATAGTATTAATAGTACATAGTAGTTCCAGAAATCTAATTAGTTTGACCGATTGTTTTCTTCTTACGGTATGAACAATCATTTATCGTAATTTGCTGCCGTTACATAAAATCTAATATCCAAAGTTTAAAACATTGGAAAATTTTATTTTAAGATATAATCAGAGTCTTGGAATACACATATTCCAAAATAGTGCATGCGATGGTGCATGGAATTTTAATATATGAATATATAACTGCATTATTTCAATATAGTATATAATTTCTAAACAGAATTATTTCAAAATGTGTAATACATATCATGATACAAGCATACGTATTATGAAACAAAGTATTTTTTCTTTTCTTTAGCGAATACTATACGCTCTTGAAATTTAGAACCATTTTTCTTGATATTTTTGTGTGTAGGTACTTGATATCAAAGTTACACTCATTCCATAAGAGTATGGCTGCGCCATATATAGGGTGTCAATAACTATATACGGACGCGATATCGCGAGATTTCTTCAGGGATTGAGTTGGTGTCGTATGTACGACGAAAAGAGAAGAAAAGCAAACGTGAAGAGGATAGCATACTACGACGATGGTGTACGCGTCGAGAATGCGCAATGCAGCTGACGACCGCGAAAAAATCCGCGACTCCTAAGAACGACTTAGGATTCCCTTCATTTCTACCATATACGTACATGTGTACATCCGAGAGTGCGATGAACGAACCTGTGACCTCGACGAGGTCTCCTTACTGTTCATATGCGACATCAACATCTCATCGTCAGTCGCAGCAAAAAAATAATGAGGCAAAATTGCTAATTATTTATTATTTATTTTTTATTAAAACAATTCTTCTCTATTACCGAACTAATGTGCGCTATTAATTAAATTATTAATTGGAGAAATTATATAGAACTTGAAGATTATAATCAAATCTGATTAACCAATTTTTTCTTTGTTTTGAAATAAAATTAAGTTACATGGGAGAGACACGCGATTGGTTTCTTGTTAAAAATGTGAGGATGTTATATGAATGATCTAAAATATGAATTTTCATGGCAATCGATTCTCTCGTACATGGGCAATTGGGCATCCTCGATATTGAGAATCGCAAAGAGGTTACTGTGCTGTAAGGGTAACGCGAGAGAAATGTGGCATACTTAGAGAATCGCGATAGCCAACAAGATGAACACGTGAATTCGCTGCGTCTAATTTAACGTGAGATCTTACAATTAGTCGAGGGTTTACTAAAATTGACTCTGATGAGATTATATATATATATATATTCTATAGAAAGTACAGGCAAATTATTAAATTATCAGAGATATTCAGAGGCTTCAATTTTTCAAATTTTTCTTAAATTTCTTCGTTTAATTCAGTTTTAATTTTTAATTTAGATAAAAGTGTCATTCCAAAGCCAATTAATACTTAATAAATAATCAGTTTTCTGATTAATTGTTTACTAAATTAAATACTAATTCATTTATATAATTCTGTAAAGAATTATATCGCTAATTATTTGTAGATGAAGAGATTAAGTAATAACAACACAGTATCTAGATTAAAAGAGAGAAAACTAAGTAAAACTGTTTAACAAAAGAAGATCTGCATTTAGCATTGATTTAGTTTTATCATTATAATTATGAATAAGTTTAGTGAAATAAAATTTATAAGTTTAATTTCGCAAGCTTAGATAGATTATATAATTCGTTTTCCAACAAGCGATACAAGTGGTTCTGTCTTTGTTACTGACTGAATGCCAAAAAAAGATAGAATAATAACCTGTGTCGCTTGTTGGGAAACGCACATAATCAAGTCAATCGTTAAATAATATACACGTGTATTTTTTAACTTTAAAAAAAAATGTAATCGAACCAAGATAAAGTCGTATTACTAATATTTTTTCAATGTCCACACGTTCAAGAATTTTATCAAGAATCTTTTCGAATCTTGTCAAATAACGTGCGATAACGTATCAGAGGTCGTAGCATCGCCTGAGATGCATCGTATGCATCTGAAAAATATCGACAGATCCAGACAAAACGATTTCGTTGCAATTACTTTTGTTTCTAATCCTCTCTCCTTCGATGATTCAAAGCCGTCGTTTCAATAATCCACACGTTAATGAATCCTTTGAACTATACATCACATCACCGTACGGATCCCGATCGCAAACAAAACACTAATAGATCACGATCGATTCGCGAGAAAAGAATACAAACGCGATGTAAAATGTTGCGCAGTGCGCACCTCGACCGATCTCGACGCCAACCAACGCCAACTGAGCTTACTGAGCACGATACGCGACGCGCGACGCGCGACTCGCGAGTGCGCAAAGTGCGATCTACACTTCTACACTCGGCTTTCGGCGTTCGGCGACGGTTCATACGGGAATTACGGGGCCCGAATGACGCTCTATCCTATTGGTCGGTGAACTGAGACAGTGGGACCTCGTGGTCCCGCCGCCATTCGGTTGCAGGTGTAGCGAGTCCACGTCCACGGGACGCACGGGACCACGAGGTCTCGACTTGTCGACCAATAGACAGGAGCGTGGGCTGCAGGTGCTCTGCGAGATCGCCGGATTGTTCACGCTACGTAACGCGCGCTTTTCAAACTAAAATCATCTGTTCTTAGCTGGATTCTAACACGCTCATTATTTAATGCGATTATCGGATATTTTGTGATACTTTTGGAACTAAAAAGATTTTCGTGAAATACTCAATATTCTTTTTTTTTAAGTAAACAACTTAATTTGAAATTCTCGTTCTTGTTATTAATATTTAAAAAAATAATTTCTGCGTGTTATTAAATTCTTTGATAAAAAGTTCAAAATTAAATTAAAATTGAGATTGAGAATATTTGTGAAGAATAAATTAATAAAAGGTAAGTAGGAAATCTCTGTAATTAAAATACTTTTCAACATAAAATTAAAAATTTATAATTTTGATATTAAATATCCGATATATAATCTAGTGTAAAAAAATGCGATACGGAAGCTAATAGATTTGTTGATGGAACGCGTGCCATGTGGATCATCGCAACAGGTTCCGGGGAGGTTCAAAGCTATTAGAAACTATACTGGCTCATGGGCCCGCTAATTGTCGATTAATTACGACTAATCATCCTGCGCCAATTTGCTCTCTGTTTCCACGCGGCTAACTACATATCACGTGTTCCGCTCACGACCGTGACAGATCTGGGCGCGTTAATTAATCGCTACATCTACTATCTACAATTACAATGATATGATTCTATATTAATCGTTATACGATCGTCTCGGAAACAAACAATCGCAACAATAAGTGAGGACTAAGCTTTAACGCTTGGCGTAGAGAACATATTCATGTAAAGTTCAAATAACACATTGCAGACGTTAAAATTGTTAATTGCGTATGTTTCAAGTTTCAAGCCGTATACTCACATTTGTGGAAAGCTGACTGGTTAACGAATGCACCTTCTCCTGAGCGTCTAGTAGTTCACGACGCAATTTTCTCAATTCATGCGCCTGCTTTTCCTCAGCCGAGCTGTAAAGACTACTCGCGGTGGACACCAAGGATACCGAAGAACCATGAACTGAAATGAATACAAAGTTCTTCTTATATCACATGTTTATAAATTTAATCTTTAATTCTAGAATCACATCTCAAGGAAATTTTTTGGCTTAACAGTCTCAGATTTTAGAAATTAAATCAATTATAATCATTTGCATAAATTTATTATACACACAGAGTAACTCAATAATTAAAATTTTATTCGCGTTGTACAATTTCTCTCTCTCTCTCTCTCTCTCTCTCTCTCTCTTTCTCTCTCAATTATTATACATTATTCTCTTTTTCTACGGTAATATATTATAAATATATTAATTATGCTCACAATTAGTTTCAAGATTTTAGCTTATTTTGTATTATATATTAAAAAGGATGCAGTGCAATATTGATGGATTTAATTTTTTTTAATCAATTGTAAAAGTTACGTTGATATCGATATTTTTGAGTTTCCAGAAAAATGTTGCACTGCATTCTGTGCTTTACGATGTTAGCACTCACTGTCGTCGTCCTTGTGTACGTGCTGGTACAAGTTTGGCGGCTGCCGTGAGGTGTGCGTGGGTGTCGGCGACGTCGGCTGGGACCAATGCTGGCCGGTGCATCCCGCCGATCCCACGGGAACGCTGTAATACGGCTCGACTCCGACCCCCATGCCCATCCCAACCTCCTCTCCCACCGACGATGAAGCACCGCTTCCACGTGCCAACATCGACGGGTACATTTTCTCGCTCTTAGTGGACCTGTGAAAACACAAGCGCGACGTGTTCTGTAGATTCCCCTTGAGATATCTCCTAAACGGCTGCTCTATCGAACTATTCTGAAAGGACAGTCTTTCGGCCTGAGATATTTTATCGACACCGCGCGACACACCCAATCAATATACAAAATTAAAGTATAATAGTAAGCATAATTGCCGTAGGCTTTTAATAGAATAATACTATATTTTTATTTATACTATTATGATGGTTTGTTCTTTTATAAATCTATTTTCTTTTTACTGCTACTTTATCAAATAAGCACGTTCTCGTTTTTCAAATCAGTAATTACATCAATCTTTCGTTCTTTCCTATTTATATTCAATACTTTAATGTTTCAAATCTTTTGAAATATTTTTACATAATAATGATCATAAAAATGACGATTAGTTAAAATATAGAATCAAAATATAATTTAGAATATTAATCAAATTACTGATAAATTATTTTTGCAGCTGGAGAGCGATATTTATGTAACAGAAGATTTATAACGGCTTGAGGAAGGGTCAAGAGTACCAGTCGTGTGCTGTTTCAAGCTACAGAAGAGGATTTCGAGTGTCTTGGATAGCCTCAACAACGAGAACACGCTTTTCTACCTGCCGACTATGCGCGCAATTAGCTGATCCCGAAAGGGACCTCTAATTAAAAGATAAGCTTACTTCCACTCGACAAGAAGTCAAGGACCACTTCGAGACAGTTTGCAGCATGGCGCATACTTAATCTCGCAAGAATCGAACGAGAGCTATCGATTCGCGCCGTTATCCGGTTCGAATTTATTATCATAAGTATTTCAGTAGTTTTTATTTCAATATTGTTCGTTTAATCGAATAAACGAGATTACCTTCCAAGAGTTACATAATACTGCTACAAGGATGACGAGGAAGGGAATAAGTAATATAGCGGAAACATATAGCTCTCGATTGCTCGGTCCAGAATATTGATGAAGCACCGCGCATGCATGCTGCACAAGCAATACGATCGAACGACGAACTTTGGCAACAATAGGCAACGTAGAATCTGCCGCACAAATAACTATCAACACAATATGTCTCGAAGACAGATATATAGGACACATTCGGTGAATTATATTTGCGTGATTGCGTGAATCCTACAATCTTTAGAAAATATAAAATCTGAAGAGATGAACACTAGAAATTGAGAATCCAAAGATTTTATACTGTAAGATCCTTGATTCTAGACTCCAAATGTTTTATTAAATCTATGACTCTCGAATCTAGATTTTAGATCCAAAGAGCCTAAAGATTGAGGATCCAAAAAGATTATAGGATCTATAATCTTTATTTCTAAATATTTTAGAATTTGTACTTCTTCTAGGATATAAGATTCTTAAAGAAGTCGAGGATCGAAAGATTTTAGAATCTATAATTCTTAATTTCAGAAATAACAAGTCTTTTTTCTACTTTTTAAAAGTCACAAATTTTGAAAATTCTAAATCTAATTTCTAAAATACAATGATAATTACGAATAAGGATCTTCGAATCCACGGATTCGATCAAAACCGAGCTTTTAGGTAAATTTTCAGGTGCTTGTGAGAGCAACTCTCATGTGTATATGTGTATTACGACTCTGTTCATGTTTTTTTATACTTATGCGTAGAAAACGGGCTCGCTGAGTGTATATTTTCGCACTACCTTGGAAATGTCCTGTCTCGCAGATGGCTAAAACGGTCAATCAAATTGTCCTGTGTTATTTCGCGGTCGGATTGATTAAGCACACAAAAAATAAGTGAGAAAAGAAACAGCCAGGAAAAGAAAACAAATTATTCGTCGATCGAAAGATTGAATGTTGAAGATGCTGTATCTATAAATATGCAACTTATATCATATCGACATTTGCAACCAGATTATGATTCTCAAACTAGTCCTCAAACGATCGATATATTGTTACAAATTTTTAAAACATTTCCTTAATTATAAATGTTTAAAGAATCTTAATTGAACTAGGAATATATTAATATATATTTAACCTAATTAAAGATATTTCTAATATTTTTGTAATATAGATATTGGTTGAATATTAGGCTTTAGGTATTATGGAATTTTTTCATACTGTAATACAAAAATACTAATATTATTAAAATAAAATATATCAATGATTTGAGAACTTCTTAAGAATATAGGTAAGAAAATAGAAACCGATGAAGGAGGTGTTGCGACACACAGGAAATTTCTCACCTGATAGAGTTGCTCCTGTTTAGCCTGGGCGGCGCCGGAGATCCCGTAGAATCCCTCTGGTGCATTAGGAGACGGGCATGTGTCAAGCTCGCGCGATGCGAGCCTAATGATTCTACGCTATCCGCCTCGCACAAACCCATTCCTGAAAGAGATCCATATTCTAAAATAAAAATAAAAAGTTTGTAAAAACAAAAAATTTTTAAATAAATTATTGTAAAAATAGTAAATGTGAAATAAATGCGGTGTAAATATATGCGAGAAGTTAAAAAAATATATAATTATGTAAACTAAAATATATTTAAACTGAGATAATATTTAAACACGAGTTATTAAATATGAATGTCAATACAGTACAGTGTTCAATATGTTTATTTTTCCTGTATAAAACACTTTTGTCAAACATCTGTGTTAATCAATGAGTCTTCGAGCGTTTGAAAGGAAGTTCTTTTTGATTATTATATATTTTCATTAAGAAAAAATATTTTCTAGAATTAAATAAAATAAGTTCTTTTCTTGCTTTATTACATATTCTGTAATTAATAACTATAATCAGTTTACTATTAGTTTTACTTTAATTATATATATATAATATATATAATAAGTGTATATATATACTTTTTACAATAATTTAAAATATTTATTAAAGGACTATAATATATTTTAATCAGAATACCTTGAGACCGTCCACTGGGCGTATAGGTGTTGCTGTGTCTCATCCATGAAGTGGTATAGGGGCTGTTGGGTGTGCCATAGTAGCCCTGAAGATCAGGTGCTGCGTAATTACTACATGTGTCGCTGAGACTGCCGTCAGATGGTTTCAATACCCGGGGCGAAAATGACGTGTTTGCTGGTCCAACGCCAGCTCCTCTTTCGCGATGATGGGCCGACGCAAAAAGAGCGGTGAATTCTGGACTACCGGGTTTCGGCAGGCTTTGTGAGCCCAGCATAAGACGATCTCGGACTGACTGCGAGAGTTGACTAGCACTGGGACCGGTGAGACTGTAACTCTTATAGTGATGACCCTGATTTGATCCCGAGGAATTCGCTTGCAATTCCGTAGTGCACGTTTGTGTACCACCGGATACCTTGACCTGCACCAAATGAAGAACTTGGGCTTAATCAAACTTAATTTCTCTATTTAACTTAGCAAATTTAATCATAAGCTAAGCTGAAAAAAGCTGTTTACCTTTAAATTAAAATGACTAACTTTTAAAATTCAAAGATCTTAAAATGCTTTTCGATTCTAAGGATTTTAGTAGTTATAATTTTTACTCTACCTTGGTCCTCGGCACAGCACTAACTTGGGCCGTTCTAGTGGCGTCCTTGCTGCCATTTTGGACACCATTGGGACTCGAACTGGTGCCTGCACTGTGCCTCTTAACATAGCCAAAGCTTTGCGGTACCCCGCGAACTTTGCTACTGTTGCTAGTTGACGTGCCTGACGAAACTTTTTGTGGTTTCTCGCCATTCGCATATTCGGCCATGGTCTGTTTCCGATGTTTATCCTACATTTAAATTAAATTATATTTATACGATTATTATTGTCAATATCATTAATAATTAAAATGGGTAAATATTGTTATATAAGTAATATTCGGGATAAAAGTTACTTCTAGTTTTGATACTAATTGTAAGTCTATACAAAAATAACACAAAATCAATTTATGATAAAAATATGAACTAAGGAATCCAAAGATTCCAATATTTTTTACAATTAGAGTACTTCACCTGCGATCTTCTGGAGGGACTAGGGCTGGGTGGCGCGCCCTCCTTGTCTCTCTCTCTTGCGGCGCCCGCTTCGATATACTTCTTCCATTGCTGGCTGTTGGAACTGATACTGCTGCCAGAGCCGTTTGAGCTCTGCTGCTGCTGCTGCTGCTGCTGCTGCTGTTGCTGCTGCTGTTGTTGTTGCTGTTGTTGCTGATGTTTGAAGGCCGAGCTCTCGGTCTGCTGAGAGCTGTCGGACTTCTTCACGTGCGGATGGTGACCAGCGGGATGCCCACGCGAGCCGACCACGCGGTACACCAGATTATGACTGTTACCTTGCTGCGCCCCTTGGGGGGTGGCCGATCCTCCGCCACCCCCCACAATCACACCCCCTCCGCCTGGCACTCTCTGTTTACCATGAAAATGTTGATATTAATTGCATATAAATTATATATATTTTAATTCAGAATCATATTGTATCGAATTGTTTGGGATCACTTTTAATAAAAGTTTCCAAGAAAATTACATTACATATACATTTTTCTAAAATATATATTATAATAAAGTTGTTAAGAGATATTAAGCAAAATTTACAATATAATAGAACAATTTTAGGGATCTGAAATAATGTTATATTTAGCTTACAATTAAATGTTAAAAATAGTGAGTATTTAAAATGAAACCGATATCACTATTATCGCCTGGGTACAACCAGGATCAAAGATTCTGGTGAGATCGGAGATATCGATCCTCGAGCTTAACAGAAGTCAGAACCCTCATGGCATGATTCAGAGCATGGGCGCCATCATGACGCGACGCTACGACGATTTTCGTCACCGTTCTCATTTTCTAAATCGTGTATCCTTAAACTACCTTCCCTTTTGTATAAACGCAATATTATAGATATTAAGAAAAAATACAAATGCATTAACACTTTTGTATTTTCATAAAAAAAATGTATATATATATATATATATATAATATATAATAATCTTTCCAAGTTATAAATATATAATTAAAAATTTATAGAGCTTTCTAAGAATTCTGTAATTAATCCTTTAAACGCCGCGAGGTAGAAATTTCTAGAAAATGCAGAATAAAGAATAAAAGAAATCTTCATCAAGAAATGTTCATCAAGACGAAACGAGGGTGTGTGTCCTTCCCCCATCTTTCTCCACGTGGAATCGCGAGTGACTCACAGGGGTGGAAGCAGAAAGGCTCTTTGGGCTTTTAAGGCAAGGATCGTAAACGTACGCATGGTGGAAAGGCTATAAACGTGGGACAAAGGATCCGCGGGTCAAATGCGTTTTTTTTTTACTAGTCGGCCTTTGCAAAGAAGCACGCACACTGGTTTATTCATCTTCTATTTAAAATTGTTTTCATTTACTTAAAGGAAAGAATTAAAAGCCTGCTTCCTTTCAATAATGTGAAATTTTGTATTAAAAGTATTTACCTAATATACAAGACAGACGATTTTAGTTACTCAAAAATTATTTTTCATTAGTGATCTGAATTCGTCACTAGTCTATTTTTAACACTTTATTTTCTTTGCTTTCTGAACTTATATTTTTGCTTTTTCAATATTTGCCTTTTCTACTAATTTTTTAAAATTTACTACTTTTTAATTTCCTGCCGTTTATCTTGTCTTTTTCCATTTTTTACATTTTATCCTTTCCATTTTCTAATTCTACCTTTTTTTCTGCATTTGCTTCATCTATTACTCTCCAAACTTATCATACTTTTATCTTTTGCATTTAATTTTTACGTTAAATTGTTTACGTTAATTTTGTCGTTTTTTTTGTATTGAAAAGCATCACATACCAGGCACAATCAACCTTGTCGGCAGGAAACAGCAAACATTCGCGCGCCTTTGAGGTACGCGAACCGAGTGCGAGAATCCAAATAAACTGGGTGCGCCTCTTCCGAGTAGATGACTTTCCGAAACTCTTTCACGGTACGGCCTAAAGTTTATTTTTCGAAATCGTCGACGTGAAAACATCCCATTTTTTACGATTGTAAAGCGCGTACCACGGCAAGACGACGATGCCTTGAGTGGCGGCCGAAATGATATCGATTCGTCGTCTCGAGGATGATTCTCGAACAAAGGATAAATTTTTCTCTTCAACGTTCATAATTTATCTCTTTTATTTTTTATCCAAAATTATGTTCTCAATATGAGAAGTATAATTCTGTGAAGAGTATAATTTAATTATCCCAGATAGCCTACTCATTTAATCCAAATTTAGAAAAGAATATTCTAGTTATAAAATTAATAGAGCATAGAGATAAGCGATTAAAAAAAAAGGAATTTCTCTTCGAGATGCCTTCAAAGGCTATCTCGGGTTATTTTGTAATTTATTTCATTTCTCAAATAGTTTTAAATTAGAGAAATTACTCACCATTTTTCTTTCGTCGTAATAGAAGTTCGCAGATTCTGCTTATCTTTTACATATGTGACAAACATTTCCTCTTCTATTACAATTTTTATTTTTTATCCATCATTTCGTTTACTGGCTTTTCTTTCTCCTTTTCTAGCAATTCTTAATATTTTAACTGTTTTTATGGAAGCACTAAAATATTCTAGAGTTGCAATATATATTTCGTGTAAAAGTAAAAAAGTTTCTCCCACACTGATCTAAATTATTAACTATATATATTAACTAATTAATTAACTCAACATAAAGTATATCATTCTTGAAATAATATTTTACAAGATTTTTACTTCTAATATATCTTATATATTCAAATTTTTAATTTTCATATTATTACGATAGATGGAAATTATTAATTAGCATTTCTCGCGGAATTAGTAAGTCATAGCTAATTGATCGGCAATCGGTATTACTCTGAGGCTATCCAAACCACAGTCATGAATTAACACATTGAAACCAACCAAATATATATGTGTATATAATATATATATATATAGTAATTAGCTAACCAAATGCAAGCCTGTTACATAGTTTTCCTTATAAGGAAATTAGGGATGTTCCTGTCAACGATGACCTTCTCTCCTACTATAATTTCAAATCTCATTTCGAGTTCTAACAAGCCTTAATTGACCTTGCGACAGTATCTAAATACTTTATGTCGGCGACAAGTTTTCTATAAATGTATTTTTTTAAACAATAACATTTAACAATTTAAACTTGAGTTTTACAAATTTATATTATTTATATTCAGAATTCTACCATATTTTATCCTAAAAATATCAGTTTTTTATCAATTCACTAATTAAAAATTGTAAATCTTGCTACAAAACTTAAGGGACTTTTTGTCATATCATTGTCTATCATCGTCTTAGCATCTATCATGTTATACTTGGCATTAATTAATCCTTTTTATTCAACAAGACAGTTCTGATGCTTTTTTATCTTTAGGGACAGTTTAAGGGGTAGTTCTTTACCACTCACGTCGTCATTTTCACTTTTACGAAGACATACTCGATATTACTCCACCAATTAAGACAATTTACGTTCACTGCGATTTTCACCCCGGAAAATACAAAGGGTAGTGCTTTCTCACCCTAGCGCCTTCGGATTACGGTACCGAACGTAACGTACGAGACATCCGAACGTTAACCGCCAACTGCGAGGGTCGACGATCCATAGCTCACTGGCCCTCTCGGCCCCACCTCTCCGGCACCGTGTAATATTACTAACGGGAGGTATTCGCCCTCCCGAATACCGCACCCGCTCGCTCTGGGGTGCTACAGGAGTAACGGTTCGATCCAAGTCGGGATAAGAGTCCAGAGATCATACTGATTTTTTTATATATTTTTTTTGTATTTGAAGAATCAAATCACACTTTTTTCTAAGTTTAAAATTTTTTAACACACACACACACACACCCATTACACATTATTAGATATTTATACAACTAAAAAAAGTATTTTTTACAAATTATTTATGTTATTATTATTATATATGTTATTATTAAGATAAATTCAAAACGCTTAATCTTTTTCAACTATCGTTAGGATTAAGAATGTAATTTTTTAATTATTCAAAAGACACATATTGTATTATATATTGAGATATATTATATTAAAATTTTGCATTACGTACTTTGAAAAATACATAGTTTTATAAACTCTTTATTCCAAAAGAAATGAAAACTACCTTTCTTCTTTAAGAGTAAAATTGCTATATTATAATTTAAATGTTAAATTATATTATTAGTAAGAATTGAGATATTGTATTTGGGAATTATTCCGAGGACGCTGCTCTATGGACTTATTCGCCTTAAATCACCGCATTTAATCGACTTGATTTACGCCCGAAAGGGTACAAAAGAGAAGCATTACCTTGGTCAGCGATAAGAAGACCATGCGACTATACGAGTGGGATTCCCTACGCTCCCATTTTCTTATCTTGAAGTGGTTCGAAAAGGGTTGTTATACCGAGTACCAATAGCTTTCGTTCAAAATGGGCCTTATGTGCGACACTGAGCAAGTCGCTAGTCCAATACCAGCGGATTAGAGAGAGGATTATCCGGGTAAAGACATTTCCCGAAGGAAAAAGTTACTGTCTCTCTTTACTACATCGTTCGCGTTGAGAACGAAAATAAAGGTTAAAAGAAAGAACACTAAGAAAATATTTTGGATGTTATTAATTTATCGATATAAGAAGAAATATAAATCATTATAAATATTATATGACAATAAACTAAGACAAGTTAAACAAAATAAAATAAATAATTTATATATATTTAGAAAATATCAATTTTATTATGTATAGTAAAGATGGAATTTGGAAATAATAAAATATGCAATTAAACAAATGCTTATCTGTTTGAAATCATCAATATATATATAAGCTAGATTAAATATATTATCTCATACAAATTCATATTGCAGGCAAAGTTATAAATATTTAATTAACGACCATTGTCGAGCTCGTCGGGCACCGAGGTCACAATTCAGTCGCGGTAAGTGGCTCATCGAACAAAATTAAGGGGAGAGGGAATCAAGAAGAGGCAGCAGATATTATTTCATTATAATAATCACTGTTAAAAGGGACGTTTATATCGATACGACAGACTTCAAAGCTATTAAAATGGCCGATTTGCAGCCGCACATAATGCATGGATCCATGGATAATTAATAGGTCGGCTTTTAATGGAAGGAATTAAAGGTTACTGCATATAGTCTATCTCAAGAAAAGACGCTCATTATCCATCGCGGTTAACTTTATAAGGATTAATTCAACAAAAGTCAATCATCTTTGAGCAAATATATAGAAAAATTTTCTTCAAAGAGATAAATAAGCTCACTGAATTATTTGCTTCGATGTAAAGTCGTATATTTTTTGCGCAAATTATTTTCTTGCCTTTAATTAAGATAGGATTTAAACGCAATGCATGATTAAATTTCCAGTAAAGCCTGAAGTACCCAAGATATTTTTGTAATGTCAAAAGCTGTTTCGGTTAAATTTCTTTTTACGTGAAAAAAGGTGGAGAGAAACAAAGAAAAGAGAAAGCAAAAGGGGGGAAAGGTAAATTTATTATTTCGCTCGACAAATATCGATTCTATTCGACGACGACCTGCCGTGACCCGGGTGCATAACTGCTCGCGACGCATATTACTAATTTCCCCTTCTCTCGTGCATTTCTTCTCTGTTTTAAATATTTTCCTCTTTGAGTTTTTATTTAAATCTTTTTATTACGTAATTTAAATAAAAAAAAAATTGAAATTGCATACAAATAATATATTCTAATAATTATAAAGTTATTATTTCTACAATCATAATAATTTCAAATATTTTATTCAAAGTTATTTTACTTTTTGAACGACAATAATCTTTTTCCTCTACAAACTACAAGATTATTTTTACTCTGAGATAATGATAAATAGATTATATATAATTGATAATAATAAAATCTCAACTTCTATTTTCGTTTTGTTTCGCGCGCGTGCACATCTGAGAATCTATTTAAATATATCGACCGTAACTTGGCGGTCATTGTTTTCATATTGGAACAAGTCCTTCGAGACAAGAAATCGGAAATAATAAAAAACAGGATAACAATGATAACAGACAAGTATCGACATTAAGAAGAGAATTAGGAAATGTAGTAATGCTTCCCAAAGAACGACGCAAATCGACGGGCGGTTGTTTTTTTTTATTTGTCAGGAATAGGATGTTTTGAATCTTGAGTTTCAAAAAGATAAATATGTGATTAATGAAGAAGAATCGAGTGCCGCACATCCAACATAGTGCATTTTTAAATTCACGTGAGCTTCATCGCTTGAATTTAAAAGTATTAACATACGACTAAGTTTTAAGTATAATTTACTACTTTTAAAAAGATTAAAAAGATTAAAAAGGATTTTTATAATTTTAATTTTGCGTAAAATCAATTTATGTAATTATACTTTCATAACTGCGCTAGACTTTTATAATCGTATTTGTGTATATATTTTGTTATTAATTCTGGATTGCTAATTTCAAATTATTGAATCAAGCTTTTGTTAAGAAAAAAAATTGCTTGCGATAATAATAGAGCAGAGAAGCGTAGGAGTTTAAAAATAGCGATTTGCAGTGACCCGCGAATGAAAAAATTGTTCTTTCGATATATGTATAGTGGGACACCCAGTACACGACAGCTGCACGATGCAACAGCTGACGTGCACACATGCTCCACGCTTTGTGACTCGATTGTTCTGTGTAGGCTTGCGAGATCACGCCTGTGCACACATCGCTTCTTGTCCTTGTACACCAATTTGAACGTTAATTAAAGAGAAGTTTGATATCGATCAAGAATATTGTCGCAAAAAATTATACCTTGCTTCAAGTAATCTCATATAGAAAATAATAATTAATATTTCTGATAAGGCTTTAAATAAATATATTTCATCTTATCAAGAAAATTCCACGTTTAATCAAAATTTAAATGGTCTCCCAGAAAATCTTAAACTTTAGTTAGATAGAATTTCTTTGTCTTGTAAAAGAGAGCTACTCGTTTCATTGGAATGGCAAATGTTGGTTACTATAGTAAATGTGGGAGACAAATTCTAGAATCTAGATGAGAGAAATTCTAGATTCACTCCCATGTGAATATTATGACATGATTGATCTGTTTCAAATATACACAAACGTGTTGACTACGGTACAGTACCTGCCAATTATCGTACTAATAATCCCAATAATTATCGAGAATATACCTGGCGACTGTCAGCATCAGTCCCTTCAGTCATCTAATATGTCGTTAGTGAGTCAACGACTACTAAATCATACTCCTAATAACTACGAATAGCAAATGCTATTTTCAAAACTATTCCAATAACAATTCCGATAAATTAAAAAAAGAAAAATTTATGAAAAACCGGATAAATTAAAAATATAATTACATAAAAGTTAAATGTTATCTTAACTTTTGTTTAGTGTAGTAGCTTATTTAAAAATAAATATTCTTTAACAGTAAGTAAAATAAGTAATTGGGGGATTAAAAGATTATAAAAAACTAAAAAATTAAATTGAAATATAGTATTAAAATAAAAATAAGAGTTTTTTTGTATCGTCAATTGGAAGAGAGAGGTACCCGTTTTGAGGATTCTGAATTCTTGCTGGATAGAAAAGGGTATTAACACTATCAACAAGCAAACCGACGGCGATTAGTCGGAGCGCGACTCGGATAATTGGAAAATAAGAATTAATAGAAGCTATTTCCGAACGCTATTTCCAGTCGCGCGTTTCCCTCTCTCCCTCTCCCTCATGCTTAAACCGCGCGCTATCGATTCCAAATTCGCGAGTTCGCTGACCTTGTGATGAGAGGGATGTCCCGTGTGATTGGCGGAGGTGTGATTTCCGGCGGGAATGGAAGCCAGCTCCTCGATTGTGAGCTCCGCCAAGGCGTCGTTCCCGCCGCTGCAACCGCCTAGAAGACCGCCGGCGACGACGCCGCTGATACCGACGCCGCCGCCGCCGCCACCACCGCCGCCACCGCCACCGCCGCCGCCACCGCTTCCCGGACTGATGCCCCCGATGCAGCCGCCATCCGACCTCGCGATCCCCGACGGCCGATTCTTCTGCACCCGCCTCGAGGTCACCAGTTCCTTCACCCCCGACAGCTCTCGCCGCGAACCACCCACGTACCTACGAATCAATGCAAATCAAGTGTCGCTATTATTATTCGGAAAATAGTAACTGTTCAATCGTATAATGCAATAACATTTTATTTCGCTTATTAATTTGTGCAGCGGTCTTGTATTCACAGTGTACATTATCAATATCAGAACAGAGATTTCTTGCAATTATTTAAAATGGTTCTTTTCCATGCGGCGTAAAGTTAGCATTGGCTTTTTCTACTGCGTCGCTATTATTATTCAGAATGTAAAATAGTGGTTTAATTGTACGATAAGGCGAAATTTTATTTGTTTTTATTTCTTGAAATTCTCTCTCTCTCTCTCTCTCTCTCTCTCTCTCTCTCTCTCTCTCTCTAAACAAGTAAATATATTTAACAATTGTTTTTAATGGTTTTTTCTGTTGTGGTTTTTTCAGTAAATCTTTAATTTTTCTATTTTTTGTACACATTTTTTCTATTACGCCGATGTTATTTTTCCCGAGTTGCAGAAAGCAATGGTTTATTTGTGTAATATGATAAATGCATTTGTTTGTTTTATTTTAAAGTTTAAACATTACTACAATTTCATTGTTTAAACTATGATGTAAAAAAAATTAATGAATAAAATGGCATAAATAATCATTGACGTAAATAATATATTGGCACTTTGTTTTTGAAATATAATTATATATTTTTTTCTATTAGTTTCCTTATCGTGTAATTACAAACTAAAGCGTTTATATATACTAAAAAAAGTATAGATTCGCTGATAATAAGTTCAAATACCGTTTCAATATTTTTGTAAGTAATTTTAAGCGCAGTTTTCTATAAAGTTAATATCAACAATTAAATTAATACTGTTATTAAGTAGAATAGTTATCAGAGAGAGAGAGAGAGAGAGAGAGAGAGAGAGAGAGAGAGAGAGAAACTTAAATTGTAAATAATATTCACAACAAAATTAATT